CTCAGCAATTTAAGATACTACAGTTTATTAATTTCACTCTAAAGAGTAACTGTTTACTTCGATAGAAAAGAATAAAATACATTGAAATGTACTCAATAATGAACTACATTGGTAATGAGCTCTCGAGTCCAGTGTGTTCTCGATTTTTATTCAAAAACCGTGGCACACTTGCCTCGATTCGTCTTTGTATTCGCATTACAAAACGGTCTCGTGTTGTAATATGATGCTGACTCCTAATTTCTTCATAATTGCATTATTCCGTAATATTAACACAATAATCTGGGACATAACACATCACTTCCCTCAGTTCGCTGTGAGCGCCTTGAAAAGTGATACAATTGTCGCTGTAGAGATCAGATGGTAGTCGACAACGCGAAACAAATCTATTAAATGCAGCCAAGTAGGTTGGGGTGGAATAGTCGGACACGAATTCCAAGTGAATTGCGCGAGTCACCATACATACGAAGAACAAGATATAGCTCTTGTGGGATTTGTGTTCGCGTCCTGAAGATGTGCGAACGTTTATGGGTTTTGCATAGTCCAAGTCAGTGTGTGCGAAGGGAGGCGAGGAAGTCACAGCGATAACGGACCTTGAGGTGGCTTCATAATATGAAAGACCCGGCTGGAAGGCTAGGGAGATGGAACCTCCGGTGGTGAGAGTGTGATTACAAAATCATACACCGGAAGGGCGTCCTTCACCACGTACCTGAGGCTTTGTCACGTGCACCGGAAGGAACGACTGATCTATTCACAATGGCCGTGGATACCGAAGACAAATGGTACGTCCGCCGCTGTTGAGAAGTAGAACGAGTTCTGGAGAAATATCTCACGTGGAAGGTCACTGAAGAGCTGTTTTACCGCCTTAAGCCGAATACATTCGCTTCGGTAGACACCTAGGATTTAAACGAGTGGAAGTTGATTCTCCCTCGAGAGATGAGACGCGCCGCAATACAAGAGTGCCACGATCTACCGCAGGCAGGACACCAATTTGTTGATAACACTTGCCAACGCTTGGCCAATCAGTATTATTGGCCTGCAATGTTTGAGGACGTGATGACGTACATAAGTTCGTGTCACGAATGTTAGCGCTGCAAAGTGCAACAACAGCCTCCGATAGGCCAGATGGGATCTCGCGCACTCGAGAAACCATGCTCGAGCATATCGGCGGATATTACGGGTCCCTTTACGCGCAGCAAAGCAGGACACCAATATATCTTAGTTATCCAAGACTTCTTCACGAAGTGTATAGAAGTGCGACCGTTGCAAAAAGCAACAGGTGCGGCGATACGGAAAGCATTGGAAGAAACCATCATCTATCGATGGGGAGGTCCAAGAGAAGTGCTGACCGATAATGACATCGAGTTCGTAAATGAGGACTTGAACGATTTGGCTGCTTCAACCAACATGAAGCATCGAACAACGCCGTCATATCACTCGCAAGCGAATCCCGCTGAAAGAGTGAATCGTTCGCTGAAAGCGATGATACGATCGTACGTAGAACAGGATCACCGTGATTGGGACTGTCACTTGGATGCATTTCGATTTGCGTATCATACAGCTCAACTCAGTTTACTGACAGCAACACTGGCTTTTGTAAACCTCGGACGAGAGCCCGAGCCAGTGAATTCGCTGCAACGGAAGCTGAAAGCAGATGTCGAAGTTGAAGAAACTCCGAGTGAGGCCTGGATCGAGCGCATGAAGTGGTATGACACTCTGAGACTGGCCTTTAGACATTCACTAGTCGAAGCTAATGATCGACAGGTACGAACTTATATCGTGCGCCAAAGGAAAGGTGAATTCGAGGTCGGCAAACTAGTCCTAGTTCGCAACCACGAGCTGTCGAATGCTGCAAAGCATCGTTCAGCGTCCTAGAACAAACCGTTCAATGGATCTTTCGTAGTAGCCAAGAAACACTCCAGAAACTTTTATCAAGTTTCTGATATAACGGGTCATAATACCAAAGACACCGCTATAGTGGACATGAAACCCTATAGGGAGGCTTTGGAGAACCCCTCGACTGAAGAGTCGGGAAGTGAAGAGCATTTACTCCTGGAGAATTTGACTTGAAAGGTATAGGTTTCGGGTCGAAACCTTTCTTAAGGAGGGAGGTGTGTAACGAGATTTTCTCGTTACGGGTTGAAATCCCCCAAATAGAGATTTGCACTCTTGAAATCATGACAAGAGAGACAAGTAGAGACATCGACAGGCGGCGGAAAGACCCGCGACTAGATGAGAAGAGCCACAGACCGATGAAAGGCTGAAGGCATAGCGGTTGTGGGTAGAACCGCGACCCCTGAAAGTCTAGAGGACGTTGCTAGACTTTCGCTATTTTAGAACTCGCCCAGCTGTCTTTCGGAGAAAGTGGCCCGACATACAGGGGTTCCAACTGGACGACTCTAAAAACTGTGTCGGTGTAGACAAGAGACCAACGTAGCCAGGTGAAAGGACTGATACCTCCGTGACCCTGTCAGATTAATTGGTGGGGATAGGATAACGGAATAACCTATCGTCACCGAAATATCCAGGAGGGAAGGCCTTAGTGAGATTCTAACTTAGTCAAATGCGAACGCTCAAGCGGAGGGGTTGGAAGGATTTCTCCCGAGTAATTTGTGGTGTTGGCTTGAAATATGGCCAGGGACAGAGGGCGTTGCCCAGTGTGGCCAGGTGTATAACTGACGGTAGCGAATGTAGAAGCATTCATCGCAATTGGAAAAAGGTATTATTTCGGTATTCGAAGTGACGACTTTGTAGTGACCGGCGTTATTAGGACCCAGCTAGGACGAAGGGCAGGCGTATGAGCCCGTGGGCCTGGAGTTGCGTAGTCCTCCTGTCAGTCCGACCATGCGCCGACAGTTTCAATAACTGGGAATGGTGACTCGCGATGACCGAAGCGGTAAGTGGTGATCGAGGTGGTCGTAAGGTGGGTAACGTAGTTCCACTTTGGTCGGATCAGCCTCTCGAAGCCCCAGGCTCTGAGTAATCCCCGTTGATTCGCAAATGATTCTGAAACTCTCCCGAGTAGAAATACTGGGGAGGAGAAAGCATGCTGGAGAAGTCAAAAGATCGTCCAGAACAGACGTGAAGTAAATTCACTAGGTTAATTAGGCCGCGAGGCCTAACAAACGGCCTGAAATAGAGGCTCGTGACGAAGTGATAGGAATACTCCTGGTGGACCTTGCCCACTCTACCGTGTCACGCTGATGTTAGCTGGGCAATCCATTGTCCAGCCACAAAAGTCCTCTGAGTAGACGAGATTGCCTCAAAGGCCGGTTCTCGTCGAACCTTCCGTAAAGTTTTGGCTGGCGCCCAATATATGAGCGAGAAAGAAGGCTAAAAAGTAATTTTGATTTTTCCTGGGCGAACAACCCGGGAAAATATCTTTATAAGAGGAGAGGAGAGAAATCCTTTTCGTTATCTCTCCAAACATTTCCTCACGTTGCCGTACGACTCACCAATGTCCAGAGGCAATTGATCCTTCAGGGGGAGGTGAACGACATATCGTCCAGTCTCCTCGCGTGAATGAGTGTCCTTGAAAAGGTTTTTACACTTCTGATCTGCGGAGTTTGAGAGCTCCTCCAATTCCCAGAATATTCAGTGCAAATCGTCCAAGGGTTCCCTGATGATGCAATGATGAACGCGACGCGTGTTCTTCCACAAGAGAAGGGGTCTGAGGCCCAGAGACTACCCAACCAAAGATCGTCTCTTGCACCATAAGAGTGTCAATGGATCCTCTTCGTATGTTTTCTAAAATGATATAGGAATACAAGCTTGCTCCAAGATTCAAATGAATTTTCCCATTAGTTTTCAAGTCAGGATCTGTGAATTTCAACCCTCTCAAGTGATTCCATTCGACAAAAATCTAGACAAAGCTTAGGGAATGCAATAAAATAGTAATTCTGAGCTAGAATTTTTTTGACGCGTGTCACTTTTCTCAAACCATAACACCTTTTTAATCCACCTTTTATTTTTTATCCATATTGAAAAACCGATGTCAATTGTTGAAATCAATAATAAAATGCCCAATTCTTCTTTCTGATGGTTCCTTGGACTATTCTGTGATTTTGAATTGTTTCTTTATTAAATTATGATTTTCCATGTGCATTTTGCACAAAACTGTCCGAAACTATACCGGAAGTTGCCATTTTTCATCAGAATGAAATGGTCTTCGGCTAAGGTTCGGTTGGATCAGCGCTGCCACCTCAGTAACACACAACCAATACTTGGAGATAGTAAAAATCACGAAATATTATATATTTATATACAAATGCAACGGGTTTTTTACGAGTGAGAGGTTGACGGCCCGACATGAAGCGGAGGGCTCCCAATTGCACAAAGTGAAAAATCTCGTCGCCCATTTGTCCGAATTATATTTTTTGTCAGAGATGTTATCCTCAACAAGTTCCGAAACTCATCTTTTTGCGTTTACAAGTAAACGAAAAGGTACATTCCACCAAGAGGTAAACGTTGCAGCAGTGAAAAAAATATGATTATGAATCCGTCGCTATCGGGGTATCTTTTTTCATAGCAATTCCATGACAGAAATAGTTACATCATTAGAAAGCTTTTATATTACCCGTCTCGTTTTCGTTTTACGGGATAAATAATATATTTCGTCATTGAGCCGGAAAAAACTTTCGCTTTTTTAGGACTGCAATCATATGAGCTTAAAAAGTTTTTTTCAACCTTGTGACGAACAATATTTTTTGATACTGCTGCTAGGTTCACCTCGTGCCGAAAAGTGTTGTTTCGTTTACGCGTGAACGAAAAGTAAACGAAGGTCTTTTCGCTTACTCGTAACCGAAAAAGGCACAAATCAGCCACTCATTAAACGTAACACCACTGTCAAAAAATATTATTCGACACATGTGACACGATAATTTTCAGTTCGTACAACTTCGCATTCTTAAAAATTCCATCTCACTCCTATGAAAATATACTATTTTGTCATAACACACACGAGCAAAGTTGCTTGATAATGTATTTGAAGATAAGGAAGGTACCTTGAAGTCCATCTCTGATGAGTGGCGTTGAGTCATCACCATCCGAATCACTCCCGCTATCCGTCACAACCGTCTCATCAGCAGCAAAAACTTTGCGTTTGCAGACCGGGCAAACACGTTTGTTTTTTGTCAGCCAAGGGTCAATGCATTTCGTGTGATAAGCTAAAAACACAGATATATTGAAATGGAATGAATTTCCGCCAGATGATACACAAGATGCAAAATAATCAACGTTCAACCGTCTTTAAATATATTTTGAAAACTTACCATGGGCGCAAGGTAACACACGCAGTTTTTCACCTTCAGTATAATCATCGAGACAAATCGCACAGGTTTCATAAGGATCACCTTTTGTATACTTATGCGTCGGTATTTTTTTCAAACTTGAATTTGGTAATCTATGCCGATGTTGTCTTCTCCTATCTTTTATACACCTCACAACCTATCAAATATGTCAATAACATAGTTTAATATTACAATACTTCAGTATCACGTTATTAATTGTTTAGTTTTGAACATTAAGCTCATTTGATCTATTATAAAAATTGGTGCAAACCATAATTCACAAAAAATAAAACTAGCTGCAGTGGGTTCCTTTGGTTTTTGCATATTTGGACTTTTCTGTATCAAATTTTTTATTACTAATTATATAAACTTTATGAGTTTAGAATTTCTTACACTTATCTACTAAGGAATGTTCATTACACAGAATGGACTATAATCGGCGCCGTCGTTATTTGAGATTTTCATTTTTATTGCTTTTCCGATTCGACGATTCGAATCGATTTTTCGACGATCACTCAAAAAACTGTTATCAATATGGAATTAGTCATGGCTCAAAAAATCAATCACAATACCCTCTGGATTCTATCAGAATATGATAGGAGTCACACAATACGTTGTTAAGTTACAGCCCATTGTCTATGCGATTTGAAAGACAAAATTGATTTTTTGATCATTACTGAAAAAATCATCGACAATATCAATTATTTCAGGGCTTCAAAAATATATTTGAATGCCTTCTTAATCAATTTGAAAAATGGTAAGAACAGCATCATTGCTTATCCTCTTATACAATATCGTTATGAGCTTTTTATATCCAAATCTGGATCTCTATTAAACTCGCCTACCAGTCTATTATATTGATTACTTATTCCTATTGATTTATGGCCCCGGCTAACTTTTGACAGAATCTGGATTGAACCGTGACTAAATCCTGAATAAACCTTCGTCCACTAAAGTTCGTAAAGAGCCTCAACTAGCGTCCTATGTATTCTGGTCACGTACTTTAGTGGACGACTGTACACTGATTAAACATTAATTGAACTGTGATTAAACCCGTACTGAAGACGAATTCCAGTCATGACGAGGTTTGAATGTAGAATTATTTTACACAACGAAATAATATGCAAAATTTTGCTAACATTTCAATTGATGATAATACTATGACAGGAAAAAATAGAAGAAGAAAATAGTAAAATAATATTGCAAATAAAGAGAAACCATTCGGAAACAAAGTGCTAATTTATTAGCAACAATTACTATATTCATTTCTAAAAAAAATGCCATTGTCCACTTATTTATTTTCTCTTCGGCTTTGTGGTACATCAGCGATAAATTTTAAAATATCATTTTAGTCGGAAATTTTCTGAATTATTTGGAAAATGATCAGATTAGGAGATAAAAATGACGAACAGCTCCAAATCTGTGTTTGAAACTTTCTGTTTAGAACGCAGCAAATAAGTCATTATTTGAAGTTACCAGGCTCAACGGAAAATCTCGACCGACTTCGGGACACTTCGGGTCCACGGCCAAATCACGAAGCAAATCGCCAAATATGAAATTTCAGTAGTATCAATCTATTCCCGAAAGAGTATACATCGGTTAGTCAGAGAGTCACCCATAGAGTACAGTATCAAAGAAACCGAATACCGAGTACATCACCGAGTGTTATATTAAATCCAGAGCTCTGTGTAGCATCTCTATTTCGGTCAATTATCAATTAATTCCGAGTTAACTGTCAATTATTATGAGTCAATCATCAAGTTTAATATCGAGAGTGTCTCTAGTAGAGTGTAAAGACTATTATCAAATTGATATTGAGACATTCAGCACTTCGTGTATCTCTAAAATCAAGACGCGTGGCTTGCGCCACAAATAAAGTACATCACCAGTGTTTTTGTACTCCCCGTGTCTTTAATTTCACCCCAATATTGGCCTCAATCTCTAACACCTTTTTTTATCTTTACCATAAAGTTGAGGTGAAATAGAAAAATAATCCGATTGTTCAAAAAATCGAAAATTTACCATCAAAAATTATTTTTCGAATATTTTTTCTAAACATTTTCAAGGACGTTACATTCGATCAAAGATTTCTGCCAAAATCATTCACTCTGGCGGAAGGTTATTGATTGACTCGCGCGATTTTTGGCAGTCGAGGCAACAGATGAAATTTTATCGAAAATTTCGAGGGCGGATTTATCTAAGATATGTGATAGAATGGTCCAAGTGTACGATTTTCCCTGAAATAAAAATTGAAGCACACATTTTTTGAATGAACAGTCCTAAATTTTCTGAAAATAGCAATCATGTTGCAACGGAGTGAAGGCATTATAACCGTTCTGTTTTCATATCTTCTAATTTTGCAAAAGAATTACCTTGAAGAGTCTTACACGTAAAAATAAAAAGTTTCGTGATCATGTCTATTGTGACGTGATAAATTCGTCACAAATGTTATTCTTTATTACCGACCGTTCCGCATGTGGATTCGTTGTTGTGAATCACCAGACGGGAAGTCATCAACCGATCACAAGAGTCATGAAAGAGGTTTTTGTTTTTTTAATTTCGGTTATCTCATTTTGAATTAAATTCGGTGCCATTGCACTTCTGCTGAGGAAACCATCGTATTCGAGGGCTTTCAGAACAGCTTCGGGGTCTCTGTGAGGGCTTCGTGGGTATTCATATCCCCTAGAGGGCGCCAGCTCCTGGACAGTCTTGGAGAGGACGTGATGCAGTGGCCCACCTGATGAATGATACATGAGGAGGAAGGAGAATATGTACTAAATGGAACAATGCCGATTTTTGTGGTTCCGAACGGACGGATTGATTCCCTGGAATTATTTTGAAATACAACACTACAAACGTCATGGAAACTAGTAAAATAAACCCTGAGATTTATTAACAAAAGAAATTAACTCGATAATAACCAAAGGACTGATGTGATGAGAACTCTTACCTTCCTCCCGCCTATTAATTACTTATTAAATAAAATTGTACACCACAAAACCGTTGAGAGCGAGCCGAAATCAACCCACAATGTGAGAAGAACGTCCAACAATCCGAAGGAAGAACATCCTCTCCGGTGGGGGACTTTTTCGTGTCATGAAGTATCTTGAGAGGTACACTTGAAGGAAAATAGCCGAAGACGCCCGAGAAGCAAAATATTATCTGAAAGACATCGAACAGGTGAACATACCCGGATAAATGTAAACGAAAGGTACTGGGATAACTCACACTGGATATAAAGGTGACAGTTGAGGGTTAGGTTGCCACGGTTGAACAACACATCAGGGAAAATTATCCCAAAGGAGGTATAGGCGCCAGGTATAGTGAATTCACCTGGAGCAAAATAGTAGTCACCAGAATAATGATTGGAGGGCTCCCCTGGGAAACTTCCCCCAAGAAGTTATATTCATCATCTCAAGCAAAAATAACATCACAATAACAACAAACCCCGAATGAACAAGAAGAGTCGGTAGCTAGGGTCACTGAATCATTGACCTAGTACCATAGGAATATTAATAAATTATTCTTCCGACCACCTGTGGCGTGGAAATCACCGAAGAACCAATGAGCGGCCTGAATAGGAAATCCAGGGGAACTAACAATTGAGATGACCATGAAAGCGGTGGAGGTCAATGAAAATCGCCAATCACCTTGACATTTATATATCTGATTAACCTGGAGAAATATGAAGTGACACGTCAGCGCTCTCCAATTGGCTGAGACAATTGGAGCAGATGAAAACGCTCCAACCCAGACCTAGACAACGCAAATTCGGCCAAGTTTCATCACTTTGGACCGTATGGCACCTCTGTTACGAACACAGTGGTGACCACTTAAAACTCAATTAGTATTAATAAGTATTAATAAGTAATTAGTGTGTATTTTCTCCTACGAGATAGGAGAGTCGGCCGAAACTCCCTTAGGTAAGGAGAAATTGGAGTTATAACTGGAGCGATTGAGAATGTCGGAGAAATTCTACAAAATTCCAACAGGCGAGAAAACTACTTGTTTTGTAAGTAGCGATGCAATAATTACGTGCGTAAATATTTCGAATGTTGCGAAAATTAATAATGCCTTGTTTTCAATTTAATAATTAGTTGAAAAATTGCGCGAATACTTTCGTGAAAGCTCGGAATTCAGGGAATAATTAATATTTGAGATTATTCTTCCCTCTAGAAAATCATAAATTGAGGAAAAATAAATAAACATCGGAGGAGTTCATGCGAGGTCATGTGGAACATAGTTATCCTCTACAGCAACATAAATGTCACAGTTGAAACCTAATCAGGCGCGCCCGGGAATGATTCGATTGAAGAAATATGATTTTTAAGAAAAAATAAGGTTCTCTCAAGTGAATGAATATTTAGCAAAAAAATTTTTTTCTTAGTGTAGACTCAGCATTTTATCTCTTGGACCAATAGTCCCTAGCAGGGTTGGGTCATTCACTAAAAATCGGGGTTTTCCTCGGTATACATAGTAAAATACTGGTAAATTACCTCGAAATGGTGAAAACAGTAAATAACTGGTAGAAAACCCCTTACTCGACTATCAGTGCAGTAACCCTCGTGACTGAATTGTACGAGCGTTATACCTTGCGAGGGTCAAACGTCACGAGGGCCATACCTCGCAAATATCATTGCGAGGATCAAATATCGACAGGGGCATACCCCATCCGGGTTAAATGTCGCACGGGTCATATCTTGAAAGGTTCCTACCTCGTAAGAGTCAGACATAGAAACGGAGTAGTATGGGAACTACTTTGGCGCCCCCCACCTAAAGTCGATATGTCCCCACCACCACACCTGTCAGAGTAGCACGGCTCCGACGTGTGTGAGCGGTGGGGTACAGCGTGGCTGCGGGTGCGTCACCCGGGCGCGTATCCCAACCCCGAGCGGTTTCGGGAGAACCGCTGGTCCCTCGGCCTCGAAATTGAAATTTGGGGGTCAAAAATTTTTCCCCCACCACCGCTTGTGAGTAAAGGACCTACCACCACACCGATCGGAATAGCGCGGCTCCGACGTGTGTCCGCGGTTAAACCCCGAGCGGTTTTGAAGTAACCACTGGTCCCTCGGCTGCGATACTAAAATTTGGGGGTCAAAAATATTGGCTCCCTCCATCACTAATATATTTAGGGACCCACCATCGCACCGATCGGAA